ACTACTCGAAATATCAAAAGCTGAAAATTAATTAATTATGCAAATTAGGTAATTAATATGTACTGATATTACCCTAAAAACTATCAGGTCTGTGCAGTGTCATATGACACCTATGTACCAAGTTTTATTGAAATGTTATGATTAAGTACTTGAGATATCAGTGGAAAAGCCGAAAATTGATTAATCATTATGTAAATTAGGTAATTAATAATCAAATCTACGCATTAGTTCAGAGCATCCATGTGCCAAGTTTCATTGAAATTCAATGAGTGGTTCTTCAAAAATCAGTGGAACAGTATGAGAACAGCTTAAAATCAGTAAATTATCATGCAAATTAGGTAATTAATATTCATAGATTTTTACCCAAAACTAATCAAATCTGCGCACTAGTTCAGAGCATTCATGTGCCACATTTCATCAAAATCCAATGAGTGGTTCTTTAGATATCAGTGGAACAAGTCTTGGAACAGCTAAAAATCAGCTAAGTATCATGCAAATTAGGTAATTAATATTCATAGATTTTTACCAAAACCTAATCAACTCTGCGCATTATCCCAGAGCATCTATGTACCAAGTTTCACCAAAATTTGATTAGTGGTTCTTGAGATAACGGTGGAACAAAAAAAGTGACATACATACATACATACAGACATACAGACAGGGTAACTGCAAAGACTCCCTTTTGTGCTTCGCACACGGGAGTCAAAAATTCTGGTACAGAAATGTTCATTGATATTAAGAATTGTTTTTTTTGTCTTTGTTTTAGAAAAAAAACTGATAACAGTTGAATTAGTATGAAACTTCCATAAGTCATTCCTACGTAAAGCCAACTAGGGCATAGGCATTGGAAAAGTCTCTACAAGGCAGCAACTACAATTTCTGCATCGGCTGTTGCTGGATTTGTCTATATTAGGCTAGTAGCAAGTAATCACGGCTTAGCTTTTTGAGAATAAAAATTCTTTGTCAACATCACAAAACTAGTGATAAATAATAGTTTTCATTTGGGAGGGGGGGGGGTAGAGTATGGCGTCCTAACATTCCTTTTTCTTAAAGTTTCTCGTTACATTCAATGTTTCCTTTCTCTTCTCACACTTGGATCAAGCACTCTCGCTCCCTGACTGAAACGTTTAGTCTACCATAGCAAATTCCTGCAATAATCACATATCCAGTCGCTAAACAGAAGTACATGTAAGTCAAGGGACATCCATCATTAACCCTCGAGTGCCAAAATTCCAACCTAAAATTCAGTACAAATATTTTCTGTAAAATAATTTTTTTAAACCATACACAATGTATGGACAGTAAGATACTGCTTTTAGTTTTTGCTCAAAAGTTTTGTCATTTTTTATCAAAATTTCATGTGAGTAGGAGCAAACTATACAAAATCAATTTGTAGATGGTGCCAAAAGTAGTCAATGACGCTCAAACGGTTAACCCATCATATTGGATAGTCATAAAATCAGCGACATTGTAAGCATACTGGACACTGAGTTTAGGTGGTCTGCAAATTTTCATGGGTTTAAGCTGCTGATCATGCAGAATTGGAAGGTTAAACAACAACCACTTCTCGACATGACTGAAATTGGATGA